TGACCTGAGCTTTCTTAATCCTATGGTGTGCTAGATATCCTCAGGCATCAGACAGATTGAATTGCACCTGCTAAGATGAATATCGGCAGAAAGCCAATGTTGGAGCCCTGGCTGTGAGTCATCTTGCTTCAGGCACAGAAAAGAATCGGCAGACTGAGCAACCTTATTTCTTCTACCAAGATGGTGCACATCCCAAGAAGGGTAGATTTAGGGCTCCCACTGAAAGCATAGGGAGATTGAGAAAGACCATTTATGACTGCACAGTTACTATTAGGACTTAAGTAAGCCTCTTTCTTTGGCAAAATCCAGACTTCACTGAAATCCATGGGAATTTTTCCTTCAAGCAGTAATAAATCATAATCTTCCACTGCTACTTTTGAATGCATGCATTTTCAACAGCAACTTTCAATTTTTCATTCAACATCACATTAATAAAACAAAAAACCCCTAAGTGAATATGGGCATCTTAATTACCTTTCCAGCAAATAAGGGGTCCCTTTGACAATACACCTTGGGAGCTTCTTACTAGGTAGTACTTTAAGTGCTTCTGCTTCTTTGGCTGAGTGGTTAATTTCAGGTTGATATGATTGGAAAACTCTGTGAAGTATCGAAATCCTCTTTCTCCACAGCCTATACAATTCCCAGAAAATCCTGGAAGAATGAAGCAGAAGGTACACACAGATTAAATGACTTCACGCTATCTGCTAGGAATAAGGCCATTTTAACCTACCTGCACATCCAGTTCCAGCACGCTGGACCTTACAGCTAAGGTCTTAAAAGCAATCATTTAATGTCAAGATTGTCATGGCAAAAGTTAGGAGTGCTTCAGAATGTTCTTTAAAAACCTACAACCTTTCATGAAAGTAACATATTTAGGAATAATGGCAGAAGACTGCTTTTCTGCAATGTTTCCAACATGGTTTCACAGAAGGGGGTGAAATTTTGAGTTGAGGCCTGGAGAGCAGGGTCCAGACCAAGGATTATGTGCACCCTTATTTCCAGTGCCATTCACAACTATGTTAATGGCAATGTTGCACACAGACGTCAGCAGTCTAACATCTAGAACAAAGCACAGGGCATGTTCTGAAATGGGCCTGCCTTGAAATCCTTGTTTGAATAAGCCCTCTATTATCTAGTGCTGAACAATTAAACTCCTCAGGCTTATTTGTCACTCTATTCGTCACTTTCAACCCTTAATGAAAAAATATTTTGTATTCTTTCTGGAACATCGATAATGATTTATAATAGTACTGGGCTGATGAGTACCTAATAGAAAAGCGTTATTTTTGTTTCTTTCCATTTACTAATCAGTTCAAAATCTGTAGCAGAACCAGTTTCTCATCCTCACTAATATAATTATGTTCCACAGTGACTAGTACCTCGGAGAATACTGGTTCCGAGAATACTGGTTCCTACACTCACTTGTCAGCCAAATTCGTAGTTTTATGAAAAAGATATTCAGCCTTTTCAAAAAAATGCATTTTCCCTAAAACTCTTATTAATTAGGCCATTGTCTCTAGCCTTACTGTGCCTCATTATCATCTTTTGCCATCATGTTGCTGAGGATGCCAAGAAGTAGATTTCTTCATCCTGTTTCTCCTGGGACTGAATCAGTCCCTCCCTTCTCCCTTGCAACCCACAGGAACTACTGGTGCATCCCCATAGTTGTCAGAAACAGTCATCAGGCTCTCACAGAGCTACTGAGCCAATTCTTTGCTCGTAGGTACCAGTTATGCAGGCCTAGAGGCATGCAAATATGTACCATCAGCAATGCCAGAGCAGAGCTGTGAGCCACAAGGCTCATTATCAAATGATAGCAGAGATGATAGATGGATACAAAGCTGGGGGGTGGGGGGAGGAAGACAAGTAGTACCACATTTAATCAGACTAAACACCATCTGTCTGTTGATCAGATAGTTCTTATTGATCAACTTTTGACACTTCCCCTGCTCAGCAGGGGAGCAGGTCCTCTGAGGATGGCAGTATACACCAGAGTACCCCATGATCCCACGTCCCCAACTGCACCCAGCCAGGGCACATCACACCACAGCTCCCATCTAACCCAGGGCAGTAGGATTTCTGCCTCAGGTCCAAAGGTTTACAGTGTGTAGTAGCATACTAAATGGGTTTAAGGGAGAAATAATATTACAGCTCATAAGTACAAAAAGGAGGAATTTTCAACAGTCATGCAAAATACTGCTTGTCCAGACCAGAATTTAAACAGTGTGGTTAAATCAGGGTATTTATGCTTTATTGTAATTTCTTCCCTGTTGAAAGGTCTTTCTGAATATATTTTAGGCAGCACAATAACTGGAGGGAGAAATGAGAGAGTAAATTCAAAACAGGCTAAAGGAGCCAAAATACATTAAATCACTTTTACTAGCCTGTTAAAATATGTACCAGTTGTGAGCCAGGCAGGAATCTAGGTGCACATATGCCTGTCTTCAGTCACCAAGAAGCATTCTCATATTAAAATTTTAAAGCTCATAAATGTAACCAATTACAACGTAAATAGTTTTGGGTTTTTTTTCCCCTATGTATTAGATTTTGAGAGGCAAAGTGGCCTCAGAGCTCCCATTGAGAACAATGTTCCTGGTGGAGCCAAGGACAGAATTTGCCCCTTAATCCACAGAAAAATAGATAGCTCATCTCCTACACTTGCATGAGCATATTTTTTCTTAAATTAAAATGCTGTAAGCATCAGTAGAGATAAAGAGTATGTGGACAGTCCACATTTAGAATACCAGGGCTGCAATTGACTTGTGCCCACACAGAAATCACAGAGCTTCAATTGTGGTTAATTGTGGAATCAGGGACTTTTTTTTAAATGGGCTTTTAAGGTGGGTTCAGCTACGGATTTAATTTAATAAAAACAAGCCTGTCCTCAACATATTTCTAAAAGAAGGTCATTAGCTGAAATGACTTTAGATGACTTTGAACTAACCTTTTTCTCTGAATTATTATGGCACAAATAAAAAAAAAAATCTCTTACCTAAAAGTGCATTTTTTCCATGATCATCTGGCAAAAACCGCTTGTCAACAGCGCAGACTAGAATGTGCTCAGGAAGGTTGGGAGATTTGGCTCCTACTAACAGGAAGCCTGCTGGGATATCAATTTGCTCCATGCACAGAGATACTAACCGTAAATCCTTGCCTGCTTGACAAAAACCTACAAAACAAACCAAAACAAATGATAAATCTTCAAAAGATTTAGTTTAATTTTCTTCTTTTTATCAGTTCCAAAAGCAAATGGGGCTTCGCAACTCGATGCTGTAACTGAGGGTTTTAATATATACTTTTCAAGGGAAACAGAGGAAACGGAGATAGCATCTCATCAGATCCACTAGCTCAGGGTTTCAGAGACAACAGATAAACATTATTTTAAAGAGATCCTGAACACATTCAGGCAGAGAAGTAGAGTCTCTAAAGACAAGACATCAAATGGCTCAGAAACTCAATTTTTCAAAAACATTCAAAATAGGAAGGAAAGTTTGTCATCTTGTAACAGAAAACAGCTCTTAAAACATCCCAAAGCATTTTTTTTTTGCCAAATTTTCAAGCAACCAGTTTTGTCTTTATTGCTTTAACAGGCTGGCATTGGTACATAAACGTCACGTAGTAACGCAAAGGAATGATAAAAATTGATGACTGAAGTTTAGTACTAACTACTAAAGTAAAAATAAAACCTAATGTTTAACTTGTCTATACATTTTAGGAATTCCAGCAAGCAAAAGATTAATTCACTGGTTTTAGAGATGTAAAGCATGTTTTCTGTAAGTCTCCAATTGAGTCTCTTGAAGTCTCAGCGGACTGCATGACTTCAAGTCTCCAATTAGTTTTTTTTCCCACCCAAATACACATATGCGCACAAAATAAGAATGTAACTTTGGTTCTTGTGCTACTGGTCAATGTAGGGCTAAAGCCAGTGGCAGAAGCGGGCCAAATTGGGGACCGGAGCGAGCCCCTGCTGTTCCACATCCTGCAGTGAGCAGGTGGCAGGCTGGGATCCACAAAGCAGCATGAAAGGGCAGCCCAGAGCTGTGGCCAAGCACCGCAACGGGGCCCTTGCGAGCTCAGGACTTGGGGTGAGCTTGGCAGCCACCCACCAAGCAGCCAAGCACTGTGGGGATTTTCAAAAGGTTGGACAGGCCAGCTTAGGGCACTTCAAATCACAGAGCAATTATGGGAGCTCTGGAGGTTCACCTCGTCCAATCTTTTGCTAATACCAAAACCAACTTCGAAGGTAAACTCTTTTGACTAAGTAAATTAACAACATTCAATGACTCTTCCATTAGCTTCAACACTGGACTTACAGGGGTCACAATCACTCATCACTTTTTAGTACAGCTCCATTGTATTATTTTTCTCGAGTAACTTTTACTTTCAAGAAAGGAAATAACAGGTCTGAGAGAAAGCAACAGTCATGTGGCTTCCTCCACAGGAAAGGATACGATCACAGCGGGCTTTCTGATCTCCCTTAGGCAGAAGTCAGTGAAAGCACTACCAAGTTTTATGAAGAACCAGACTATTACATTGTGTTCCCCTCCAGTTCTCACTTCTCCAGCTGCAAGATCAGTGCTACAGTCTGGCCACGCACCTCTCCCAGCAGCAGCTGGTGGAACCCGCCCCTATTTCAGGATGTCCAAAGACATCACAGGTTTATCCACTGACCATCTCTCTTCCACTGCAGCCATGGAAACATGGCGACACAGACAACACGTGCGTGCATCTGCATGAATCGGTATTTCAAAAGAAAGAAAACAAAAATCGTAACGTGTCCTGTTTTAATATTATTGTTAAAAACAAACATATCAAACTATAATTTCAAATTATTGTAGTATCTAGTAAGAGTTCAGATATTAATGTACATTACTTACACTTGAGATAGTATTCAAGTAGTCCACAGTTGTTACAGAAATTGTAAAGAAAAGTGAAACCACTGGAGAAAGACACTAACTAATCATCTGGAAACAGAATGTGACCACAGCTTAACCAACAGCCACCTGAGCCATCATTCATGTCTGTGTCTGCACGCTTACCAACTGTGATAAAACCCATAGTTTAAAACCAGCAAAGACAGCGAAAGCTCATGTTGTTTTTTGTTTTCATCTCAGAACCGTACCAGGCAAAGAGCATGCGCAAGGTGGAACGCACAGAATCAGCTAGGGTGAACTTCCTGGCACGCAGCAGCTGGCTGAAAACAGGGTCCCACACAGGCTCAGTCTTGTGCCTACACCCACGGTCCGCTGAACCAGTCCTTGGCTGAATTGTTTCTGCAGTTGTTCAGTCAGCTCAGTTCCAACAGCAGCTCACTCAAGCTGAAAGCTAGCTTGGATTCACCCCTCACACACGCCTTCTTCCAGTCAATGAATTAAAAGGAAGTGCCTAAAGTTTTTATTTACAAATCAGTGGATTTTAGTGATAACTTACCAATAAGAAGGAACCTATATTTTAGGGGAAAAGCATTAAAATAGCATATTTAAAGCAAAATTTATTCTTTTCTGCTTAGATGCAATTTGATTTTTGTATGTTAAACTCTTTTTAAGGTGTATCCCTTAGAAACATGTTGATCCTAATCAAATGGAAGGCTAGGTACCAGACTAAATATTATCTAGACTTTTCAATGTAATTTAGAAAGAAAGAGTTGAAGATGAACATAGGAACAAAAATCCCTTACATTCAAAGCAGAACTTCCTTATTCAAACGTTTATGCCATTTGGGTACTACATGCGGAATTTTCAAAACTGGCCTTAAATATTTAGGCATTCAGTGAAATCTGAGTAGCTGACATGCTTAGAAAATACCAGTCTACATCTAGATTTAAAACAGAAAAATTACCCACTGCTGACAATGTGGGCAAACAGGAAATCTGTAGATAAGGATTATGAAACAGCAAGTGTGGTAAGATTTCAAGACAGATTTAAACCTGTGCTTTTACACAATTAGTCTTTAGCCTTGTCTCTACCCAAAAAATCTCAGGAAATGCCCAGAAGCACAAACAGTGACTAAAAAGAGGCTTTTGAATCAATTGTTAGTAACAGCAATACTCGGACACCAAAGAAACCAGGATTTTGGTTGTCAATGTTGTTGACAGTTCTGTTTCAATATAGAGTTGCTTGCAAAAGGAGCACATGACATTGAGAGGGCTGAAGATTACATGGGAAACGTATTGCTGCTTTGGATGCTTGAGGATTTTGCTGTCCCAGTGATATGAAGCAATGCTCTAGTACTCCACAACATCTGAGATAGAAGCAAAGACTCTGCTGTCATCCAGGTTAGGAGCAAAACAACTTCAGCTACACTTTGAGCAGCTGCATATCACCGTTCTGCATGAGTCCCCAGGAGAGAAGGTGCAGGAAAACCCTAAGGAAACCCACCACAACATCTTAACAAGTTTATAAGCATTAATAGGTAACATCTTAGCAGTGCCCATTGAAACAAACACATATCTCCGTGTGCTGTCACAGCTACAACCTGAGAGACTGTTGATCTGAATATATTTAATATTTCCCACCATCTAGGATATGTAGGGTATGTAGGATATCTAGGTACTGTAGAAATGCTGCACCCTGCCTAATCTGCAAACAATACCTAAGATTCACCCCCCATATCATCTCTTACTCCACCCACAGTGCTCTCAGACACATGTTCCTGTTCTTCCTCCTTGCACCATCTCCTCCGGCATCCTCCCCCGCTTTGGTTGGCGACATCTCTGGATCAGAGGTATGTATGTGTAGACGGGCTGGCCAGCACATGCCTCTGTAATGTTCAGGCTATGTAAGAGGAGCGCTATAATTACTTTTTGGCCCCGGGGGACCTTAGTTTGGGGACACTGATGTTATCCAACCAGCTCCTGAACTTCCACAAATCTTGCTGAAATTCAGTACCTTTAGGATCTCTACCTCTCTGCCAGAAGTGGCAGAAAGCAGCTACCAGCTTCCCAATAGATGGGCAGCAGACCTCACGAAACCTCATTTTCTGAGGGAGCAAGACAAGTAACAGGGCTGACACTAAAAGGTTTCCTCTGGCTCCCCTTCTGCAGAGGGGAAAGGGATCCCGATGGGTGCGCAGCAAGAGGGAGCGGCACAGACAGACCCTCAAAACCTCTGGGGGTCTTCTCTTGTTCAACAGCTGCAACAAGGGAGCCAGGGAGGGCTGCGGAGCTTGGCCAGGTACAGCTGGGGCTCACTTCCACCAGCAGATATTGAGAGAATGCAAACCTGCTTCTGTGCAGTAAAAGTCTTGAATTTTCTTTCAAAGACAAGCAGATGGTATGTTCAAGAGCCCTTCAATATTCTTCTTTCCCTTGGCTTTTGGGGCTCTAAATCGCTCTTCGAGTTTTAAGTTCCTGCTGCTTTTTTAAACTGAATGAGAAAACCACATGTGAGAAACTTTAAATTGGAAGCAAGTAACTGACTGTGGGGAGAGGAAGGAGGGATTAACCCCCTTCTCTGCTATATTTATGCATATAAAATTGTATTTTTCTAAATAGCAAGCAACAACAGAGACCCCAAACCTTTTTTTATTGTTTTGCATGATTTTGCATTGATATTCAATTACCTGTGAGAGAGAACCATTTGCACATTAGGAAAGACAAGGCACGATGTCTCTGTACAAGCAGAACTTGTGCTGCCCATGTTTAAGATTTAGAACACGCAAAATGCTTTTATGTTTCATAGCTATTAATTTATAATTGAGTTTGCACCTAAATTTCGATGTCAAGCAACGCTAGCGCATACAACTCTTAAGAAAAAAGAATGGCACTTCTGTGTCACATTTGCCTATGTGCCTTTTATGGAGATCCAAGTATGAAGAGGAGAAAACCCATGAGCCACTAAAACAAAGCAGCTTCCATTTATGAAATCGTTTTATCACTGTAATTATAAAAGGTGAAAGCACAGAGCTGAACTGTTCCATTAAAAAAAATCATCCCACAGGATCTCAGCTTTGTTTTAAGTAAAGAACAGGCATTTATATTCTGATTAGAGATTTGCAAATACCAACCGCAGTCACAAAAAAGAATGAGGAGCTTTTACAGACAATATCTGCATTTCTTTGAAAGAAAATTCATTAGTTTTTCCTTCTGAGAAGCACATTTACATTCTCCAACATAATTTCATTTAAATCAATCCAGTCGTTCCTGAAAATGAAAATGTATGCCCACAACTGTCAACAGGTAGAAGGGCTGGAATCTTAAAAATGAAATTTGCAAATATTTTCCCTTTCCCCACCAGTAACAATAAGTAGGTTCAATGTGGGGTACCAGCCCCTTGTTGTACTGCAGTAAATGGGGTATTTGCATAAGGAATTAGCTTCCAAGAATTACATATGAATTACCGGTCACTGTCACTTGCTATTGTAACTTCACAGTAAGTGATCAGGTGTTAAGTACCTGCTTACCTAATTGCTTCTGAAACTACCTTGGCCCTTCTTTAAGCATCAGGTAAATTGAGGATTTACTAACAAAAGAAAGGTGCTACTATTGTGTTTCCCACAGCTTGCATAAAATGCGATTCCACAAATTAGAAATAGCCTCTTTTAAAGCTACAGCAAACAAGTGGTTCAGAACAGTTTCTTGTATTATTTTGTTGCATATTTGAGGTACCTGTATGAAAATAAAGACCTTATTTTCACGGAACGGGTAAGTTAGTTACAAAAGTTCATGCTGGGCAATAAGAAAAGCCCCTGAAAACAAGTGAATCCCCCAAATACCATTATTGTTCTTGACTACAAAATCTTTACTTTTATGACTAGTAGTAAGGATCAATGGCAAATTCATTTGCTCTTTCCAGTGGGCTAACAGGAGAGTTACGGGATCTAATATTATTGTAGAATCATAGAATGTTTTGGGTTGGAAGGGACCCCTAGAAGTCATCTAGTCCAACCCCCTATGGCCAGCTAAGAAGGAACATCCAGGAAACTCACTTGTGAGGCACTTATTTTTTTAACTGATGAATAAAGGCATTAAGATAAACTTTCTGAGTCCATGTGACTGACAACTCAGCTATCTGAATAGAAGAACAAGTCACCACAGAAAAGAATATGATTGTTATGGCATAAATCCTGAATTCAGGAAAAGCAAACAGCACAACTACCTTAAAAGGGAAAAAGGTTTCACCCCATCTATGCTAAAAGGTGGGAGATGGGTTTTACAGCAAGTGAAGCTATGAACTGCAGGTTCTAGTACCAAAATTTTGCTCTTGGATAAGCAATTAAATACATGCTTAGTTTAAAGCATCCAAACACTTACAGTGACTTCAATTAGTCTATCAGTATTATTTAACATTTTCCTAATGTTATTTATCTTTGTAATTAAATAACTAAGATAAGGGATGTAAATAATGGCAGCGATCCTGTCTTACATTTCTGGAAGGGCATATTCATGAGATGGAAGGTGAGTTATCAGATTAGCATCTTGCTGAGATACAGCCTGTAGCGTCAATGTTTGGGAACCTGGGTGTTTTAAACACTTATGTAAAACTGTCCTAACAGATCATTACCAGCATTTTAAAAAGTGTATTTTCCTTTCCTTTTCCAGCTACAAAACCACTGCTCTCTGAAATTAGGTCCTTGAGAACAACATTGAAGAGCGAGACAGATTTTGAAAATTCCAAATGGGAAACTTGACGAAGAGTAATTAACAATCCTAAAATTCTGCAGATTTAACATAGGAAACATTCTTCTAGGGTGCTCTGATCATAAAAGGCTTCTAGATAAAAATCAAAACACAGAACTGCCCCTGGAAGGTCTTTTTCCAGGACATACTGAAAAGCATAATATTACATGTACACATGAGTATATAATCACATATATTACGTAACTATAGCATAACGAGGCATAACCTTGTGACATGCAACATGCCAGTCTTACAAAGCAATCCTGAGCAGAGGCAGCAAGGGCACTGGCAAACACAGAACAGTTTGCACATGGATGAAAGGCCACTTCTCAAGTAAAGACATAGACATTTAACTGGAAACTCACAACTAACACTTCTGCCTGGGAGTGGAAGCGCAACCAGGGATCACCAGAACGTGTGGGTCTGACTAACAAAGATCTTTTGATGCCATATAAAAAGCTCTTTCACAATCAAATGAATTGTGGCCTTGGAGCCAGAGGAGATTTTGAGCCCTACCCCTGCTACTGGCCGGCTGGTCCAGAACCATGTCACCAATAGTTAAAAATCCTAAACCTTTAACCCAAATGCATTCACAACCATTTTATGCACCCATTACACTTCCGCAGGGCTCTGCTGGCATGACTGGCTCTTCTCCCTCCTTAGTGCTTCATCCTTGATACATATAGAAGGCGTAAGCATACGCCACCTCAGCTTTTGTCTGGTAGGCAAAAAGCCTCCTTAGATAGAACACCTCCCTCTCACCACCCTGTTGGTTCTCCTCTGCATCCTGACCAGTTTATTTTACATTTCTTTAACACAAGTGATCAGAACTGTTCCTGCTCTCCACAGGAGATTTTGCAGCCTTTACTGATGTTTGTCCTTAGTTGGGAATACCTCCCTAGGAATACAGAGTTTTATACTTTCTCCTTCTCTGCTCCTACCAATTTACAGGCCTCCAAAAGATAGCAAACACAATTCTGTGTGAATAACAAATTCTCCCAAGAATATTCTCCAGCTTCCCATAGCAGCCAGCATTTCTATTCTTTGTATGACAGGGAACTGGAAGTACATTATTATGGAGTGTAGACATGCTTATATAAGCTGCATTCAGAGGAGTAAATGCAAACCCATCAACATTTGCTACCAATTACCCCCTCAAAATGTTGAAGGTTTACCAGTCACTACTGCTTACTTCACTAGTCAGTACTTCTGTCACTGCATATAACCATACGCTATAATAAGGTACAAAACCATTCTACGAATTACAACTTTTTATGACCTCTGCACAAGGAAGCCCATAATTCAGGAAGATATTGTATAAAATGTGAAGAACAGGTTTTTGACCTGGTGGGAAGGGTTGTTTGTTTCCAAGGGTTTGAGAGGGGTGGGAGTTGTTTTTAAGAGAAGCATATTAATAAATACAAATAGATCTTCCTTCTTTAAGGAAGTTAAATCTTCAGAATAGCACAATTTTGAGATAAGATGAACTAATTAGAAGTGTACTTAGTCCAATAGGTATATTCATAATGATCTGACCCTTTCTCTAACACATTTAAAAACAAACAACAATAGTACTGTCAACAACTTTGCTTATCAAGAACAACAATCAGGACAGCTCAGGGTAAACTAGCAATGTCCAGCAGGCAGATGGCAAAGACAAAACAGACAAGCTTCCACTACCATTCCACTACCTCTTATCCCCTTGGCAGCAGAGGGAACACTGAGTTCTTCTCCATTTTCTCTCTCCAAACTCTTCCTTCTGCCCATGGAAGGAACTGAACCCAGCTTTGCCAGTGTTTCTGAGAATAATTTAGGGATAGATCCAGCCATACTGATGCTGACGTATGCAACTTCTTTGAGGACAGTAAAATAACAATGACCAAAGAAAACAAGGGGTTTTCAGAAATTAATAAATTGCCACAGCAAGTCTTAGACCCTGCTTTCAAATAATACATTACATTTTATATCCTGAAACAAGCCCTCTTATTCTGTATTTTCTCAGATTTAAGGCTTTGATTATGAACTGTATTTCCAGACTTCCTAGCTCAAGAGTTTCTAACTGTGGAGACTATGCATTACATTGAGAATTGGTTGTAAAGATCACACATGTAAAAGAATGGGCACAAACCATCAGTAGTGCAAGATCCTTCCGGGGCAGGTTTTTGTGAATATGGGATTGGTGGACTACTTGAATCTGACATGTCTTCATCCTCCTCTTCATCTTCCATTTCATTAACAGTTTGGCTGGTAGAGAAGTCCAGGTTTCCATTTTGTGAATAGCGATGTACTAACTCTTTATCCAACTCTTCTACCTTTGGCTTCACATCTGAGCAAGAATAAAAAATAAAATAAGCTTTTCATCAGTACTTGCACTTAGCTCCTTTTAAAATAACCAGCATGCCATTCTTTCTCCTTAATGAGGCCCAAGATTCAGATTTTGTGTCACACAATGAACTGCTGTGTGGCTTTTTGGTTTGTTTTTTTTTTAATGAAATATATCCCACCCTTTTCTCACACAGAAAAACAACAATTGAAATGTGCCATACTTTCATGGTTACCTTCCGGCAAGAAAGGAGGCTGGTCAGGATCCAGGTACAACTGTGAGAAGATTGGCCGTGGGACAACACTGCTACATCTCAGAGAAGCTTCTATAGAGTTATGAAGAGCTTCTTCAAAACGGGCAGATTTTAGTTGCCCTGCATATGAATTCCCCATGATCTAAAAACACAAAGAAAACATCTCATAAGGGGGTGGGAAAATGCATATGCAGACCATTTGCAAATGAAGAGTGAGGTCTTATTAACGTCCACCATGACAGTGATATAAAGTTAGTAAGAAAGTATGCTATGAAAATAACACCTCTAACTAGTACTACATGTTCACATTTCTCTCTCAACCTGGTAGACTGTGTCCTCTTGTTTCAATAACAGCTTTTAGCACATTTCTAGCACACTGCTTTGTGTCTTCTGCATACATGGCCTCTCAACAGCCTCAGGAACCTACCTAGTATGGCATTTAACGAAGGGTAGACAAAACCATTATTACTGTATTTTTTAGGATTTCAGAGTAGACTACAGAAGGGTATATAACACAGAAAATTAAAAACATCGAGTTTGGCTTCATCACAAGTTGTCCAACTGTGTTAACATAATTTTACTGTCAGTATGCCGTCATCTACAGAAAAATAATAGAGATATCCAATAATTTGAATTTTTGCTCTTGTTAATATTAACTGAAATTATGCAGAAGGTCAGTTCTCTGTCTTTTCAGGGTTCTGCTTTTATCTTCAGTGTAACACTATGATTTACATGTAGTCTAATCCATATAGTTCAAATTGTCTACTCATACTCTTACAACATAAGATGCAAGTAAAAAAAGAGAGAAATAGATAGCATCCAAACCATACACAGCAAATGCTGTGAAATGTTTTTATTTTAAACTATGCTTTATACCAGGATAGTGAAAACAAGCATTTAAATACCTGCTTTGACAATTAACATTTATGTTTATAACAATGATGAATTTATGAACTTCAGGAAATATTCAAGCACAAACAGACCATTACTTCTCCTTGGGTAACATCATACAGACCACAGCGTGTTATATTTGTGCCCCCCGCATCAGGATACACACTCTCAAATGTAAACATTCAGCAGCAGGATGGCCATGGAAGTTTTACAATAGGCTGAGGGAGACTCACTGAAATATGAAATTTCCTACTTTGCTGGATCATTATACCACATGACATTTGTTCCAAAGAAATAGCAATCTAACATTTTCCAATATTCTGAATACAAGACTGCACTTTCGGAGAATTTTATTTCAACAGAGATAACTTTCCCCCAGTTAAATCAATAGACAGAAAAGTACAAAACCTTATAGCGTTATCTTTGTACTTCCCTTCACTAGATGTCACCTAGCCCTATGACCAAGAAGAGACCTTGGCCAAGAAGATAAGTTGGCAATTAGAAAACCTACAATTCCACTCCTGCTTTATCACTGGGTTGCTCAAGGTCCTCAGGGCCACCTGTAAAAGAGCAATAATGATGACAGCCACTTACAGCAGCATTCGAGACCTGCTGCTACAGACAAATATCTAAGCACTAAATATTGCTATGCTACTGGAATACATAGACATGAAGCTTATCTAATTACTCACCTCTAAGCTGGAACAGAGGCTCAGTTCCCTGTTCAGCTAGCAACTTTATACAAGTCTGGGCAAAGAATTCCACATCTCTGACTTAGACTCAGTTTTAATAAATTTTGGGGCAACAGCACTGCCCTATCCCAACCGGAGACAATATAGAGATAAACACAATTTCTTAATGTGATACATTCAGGTATTTCAGCAATAAAATATTTAAGACAAATAGATTTTCTTTTTCATTCTGTAAGTTTTCATTAAATTCGGAATGGCAGGGACTGTGTACATACACACAACTACAAAGTGAGTTAAGGACAAAGTTACACTGAAGCATGATTAAGGTTGCAGTACACTAAATCCTGTCAGGTGCCTTTGAAGAAAGAATTGATGAAAAACAGCTGAGTGACTGAAATCCTGATTTTACTGAAATCAGTGATGGTATTTCCATAAACGTCAGTGGAATCATAACAAACTATTATATCACTAAATTGCATACCATAAAATTACCTTTCTGTGCTGTGGAATTTTATGGCAGGTACGATGTGATTAAGGTAGGATTTGGGGCATCTATTAAAATGAAAAGACTTTAGTTAATACCATAATAAAAATGAACCAATCTTTAAGAATCAGAAAACTTGCAATTCCCGTAGCATGTCATCTGCCTGAAGTCTGCTTATCCTCCACGTTTTCTACAATCTTTATGTTGTATACCATCTATGCCATCTATTTTTATTTTGATGGGAAACTAATAAAATACAGTATCCACACAGCAAAATTGCCGGCAAGCCAAGCCTAGGTAATTTGCCTCCCTGGCATCTATACAGAGAGACTTGCTTGGAGATGGCAATTGTCGTGGATTTACCTGAGAAGGTTGGTTAATGTTACTGGAGGACATTTCTAGCTTGCCAAGAGAAAACAAGATTGCAATTGGAAATGCCAAGTAAAGGAAAGCTTAGGAACCGCAACTTGTGTGAGCACTGGTCTCTGCAGCATGGAAGCGGAGCAGGAGGAAGGCTTGTCGGGGATGTGTTTCTGCAAGACAGGGCAGGCGGAGGTACCACAGAGGGCAGAGTGGCCGGGGGTCCTGCTGGGCTGCAGCAGGGGCAGCTGGGAGCCTCAGAGACCAGCGCCAGGGAGCCAGCACTGGGCAGCTGATTTCCTAACACCGCCCGAGGCCATTAGGGCAGCTGGGCCTCATTTGGAGTTCAAGGGAGCTGGGGGGGAGAGCAGGAGTGGGAGAAGCAGGATGCTCTCCCTCTGCAGGGGAGAGGAGCCGGCGAGACCCTCTGACAGCAAGGGTTGTGCCATCCTGATCCAGCCCACCCAAAAGCACCAATTCAAGGCATTAATGCCTTAGTGTTTCTGCTTCTGATTCTACCCTTGAGAGCCTGGTGCAATTAGGAGGCGCTTCGTTTTCCTCCTCCCAGTGAGTGCACCCCAGCAGCAGCAGAGGAGGTGGCAGGAGCATAGCGTGCTTTAAACATGCTCATGTCTGCGGAGGGGCTTGAGGAGGCAGCAAAGAGGCTGGGGGGAAAAATAAATTGGTGGAGTTTGAAGGGAAGGAAAAAAGAGGAAAAAAAGAAATTCTGTTATTAGGACATGTACCTGCCATATCCGCATTTACATGTGACCAAAACCAGTGATTTAACGTAACCAAATTAATACTCATCATTAAAAAAAGTTATCCAGATACTACACCTATATGAGGTCATTTGTTAAAAATAAAACAAACAAACAAAAAAAATCCTGTTGTGTTCTCAAGTGAAATTAAGACAAGCATTCCCTAAAATTCTGCACATCTCATGTAGCGTCAATGAGCACGGGGGGATGTGGGAAAGACGGTCCCAGGTTGCGTGCAGTTCAGAGTATGAGAGACTGTGTCTGAGAGAAAACGGAGCTGGACTTGACTGAGGAGCTCCTCCCTGATCTCACATGCCTGTTTTTCTCCTGTCAACACCGATACACATCAGTGCTCACCCTCAAACCCCCACTGTCCTGCATCCAGCCATACTGCATCCAACTAACCCGGAGCCTACTTGGGTGCCCTGAGAGGTTTCTAATGGGCAGAAGGTTTGATTTTGGGGGAATTAATTCTTTCTGTATCTACAAGCTCACTAATTGCAGGTATCTCAGCACAAAGGTGGTTAGATTGCCAGTGACGAGTAATTTGCCCAGCTGTAATATCGTATTCCAACCCTCACCTTTCCTTTTAACTGCACCACTGGATACCAGTGTAAATCATAAGTTGCCTACTTCTCTTAGCAACCTTTTGAGCTCTGCCTTGGATTGGACTGCAGGATGTTAATATGTGCATTATGCAGAGTGTATATGTATAGTAAGATTTGCTGCTCTGTGTTCTCCTCCCCACCCCGCCAAGGAAGAAGGTTCAGTTTGACAACAGCCATTCTCCCAGCTTCCCCTCTTTACCTCACCAACTTTGCCACTCTGCTCGGACAGACAACTTTTATTTCATGTCCTTAAAACTTACTACAGAGAGACCAGAAGACACAATTAAAATTGAATAATTTCAAAATGAAATCTGCAGCAAAACATTAAACAAGAGGAGAATTTCCTAACATTCAGAACAGCTGCACCCCCAGGCTCTATCACTCTGAGGGTCTCTGCAAAGATCCAGATACTAAGGCATCATGATTACTACCCAACACTGTCGCTGTGCTTCTTCAAAGCGGATTTCCGAAGCCTACCTCAAGTCTTCTTTGCAGTGGCCCACCACTGAACTGGAGGATTAACTGTGAGATTTGCTAGAGTTTGAGAGTTGCCTTAACAACAGAGCTGGAAGGCAGCCCTCACATCTCAGTCTGGGTCCTTACAAAGAGACATGAACAAGGCAGTCATGAAATTCCACTGACCTGACCACAAGTGAAGAAGTATTAACGCTACAGTTTTTAATAAAAAGTACATACAGGCATTTGTTACAGAAAACAAAACTACAATTGATGGGAGTTTCCATCAAGGCAGACAGAAAGGGAAGTGATATAAAGCAAAATTTCCAAGATGATTGATTTTAGCACCACATCGCTTAACTGTGTGGTGAAGGACCCAGGGAAATTCTGATGGCCCTTTCAACCCCAGAAGCTGAACTTACAAGAAAGTCTTGCCAGTTCAACCAAATAATCTTGTCCTGTGCTGTCATCCAGGTTTCAAAAGATCTGTGCAGAAACATGACACTGGATGTTCAAGAAGAACCAGAGCCCAGCTTCTTTACAGCTCCGGAAGACCTGCAGTGTGTAAGCAGAGTAAACACTACCCACTTTTAGTTAGAAAAATAGGTAACTGTGGTCCTCCAAGCACCAAAAAAAAAAAGTAACCCCTGGAAAATAGATTGTTACCCAACAACTCTTTGGAGTAGAACTGCACATTGAGTTGAAGGCTCTGCTAGTAAAAATATAATCAGATCATTCAGTACACCAGATACCACATATTTGGCCTCCAGGTGGGTCATGACCCCAGAGACTTTAAAGGAGAGGAACTGAACTGGAGGATGAGGGAGGGGGCGAGTGTTGTTGTTATGGCTTAAAGCAATTTCACAATTACCTGATAGCGAATGATG